AACATATATACTGGACCATCAGTAGAAAAATAAATGCTATCTCTGACCTCTTGAAAAAGACATCCAAAAGCTAATGGCAGCTCACATTAGGCTACAAATGACCCTGGATCTGATGGGCCCAAGGCAGTTGCCTCTTTGTCTATAGGACTAAATCAGTCCTACTTTATACTATAGTTAACCCATCTTGATAAAACATGTGCTGACGTCCTAATAATACTAGTTTTCTGGTTTTACCAATAGCCCTCTTTCTCAAAATTACTGAGCTATCACCATACCATAGTAAAATGTTAAAATATAACCTGCAGTACTTCACTAGTAATTGTCCTACAAAGGTAAAAAGCTGAGCTATTTAGTAGACTTAGCCGTGTTCTTTATTGCTGATAATGTAATATCCAATTCATTGTCCTGCAGAAAACCTATTGCTGTCTAAAGAAACTTTGTCTATAATACATCTAGCTGAAGTGTTTATACAAGGGTATCTAAACCCAGAATGAAAAAGTATGATATTGTAGCTTATCAGTCCTTAGCTGTGGTAGCATTTGTTTTCTTTTTCATATTTTTCCCTGTATTTTCAGCTGCTGATCCTGCCAGTAACATACTTCCTAAAGTGACCTGCCTTACTCACTGTATGTCTATAGAGAAGCAGCATTGTCACCCTAGGTTGCTCTCCTGATTTGGATTACAAACAACTCATACTCTCTTCATTTACATCACAAAGGGAGGAGGCGTTCACAGGAGACAGCGGGGCAAGCTGATAACAATGTTTGAGATATGAGTTTATTCCATAGGAATTTACAAAGCCACTGGAATTCTGGAAAGATCAACAGGCAATAAGTTACTTTTTTTTTCTACAGCTTAGATATCCTTTAGTTGTAATACTCTCAAAGGCTATAATTCACCAGCAGGTAGTTTAAACCAGTCCTCCAGCTGGTCAGTTCTGGCTTTTCTCTACTACACAGAAATATCAGTATTATTATTGCTTGAAAATTACTTAGAACCTCCAAACATATTTTTTTTTTCGCAGAGGCCCTAGAGAATAAAACTTTGGGTGTTGCAATTTTTTATGGCACGTTATTATCACAGTGAGTTTTCAACACACAAACACAATATTTAAAAAAAAATACGCTTAAATGAATTTTGTTTCACACAAACACTATAAAATACCTAAGTTTTTGGTAAAATATAAAAGATGATGTTACGCCGAGTAAATAGATACCTAAAGTGTCACGCTTTAAAATTGCGTATGACCGTGGAGCAGCATCAAACTACAGTACCTTAAAATCTCTATAGGCGACTCTTTAAAAGCCTTTACAGGTTGCCAGTTTAGAGTTACACAGGAGGTCTGGAGCAAAAATGATTGCTCTTGCTTTGACATTTGCGACAATACAAGTGTGGTGCGATCACAGGTTATGTATGTGTGCAGGACATAAGTATGCAATTTTGGTTGTGCATAAACACGGGGGGGGGGGGGGAGGAGGCACTTTAAATGTTTTTCAATTTGTATTATTTATGTTATTTGAAACAGTTTTTTACATTTTCTTTTTCTTTATTTTTTTAATCCACTTTATTGACTTATATATAAAAAAAAAACACTTTAAGAAGTATTCAAGTGGTGCGTAATCAATATTCCGTGCAAAATAAAACGGTAAAGTGTATAAAAGTGAACAAAAATATTCCACAAAAAATATGTATATACTGTATACAGTGAGGAACAGAAGTATTTGAACACCCTGTGATTTTGCAAGTTCTCCCACTTGTCAGGGAGACTGACAATTATCTTTAGCCTCTTCCATTTTCTAACAATTGCTCCAATCTATTTTTACCAAGCTGCTTGGCAATTGCCCCGTAGCCCTTTCCAGCCTTGTGGAGGTCCACAATTTTGTCTCTGGTGTCTTTAGACAGCTGTTTGGTCTTGCCCATGGTAGTAGTTGGCGTCTGACTGACTGTGGGGTGGACAGGTGTCTTTAAAGAGCTCAGACAAGTGCTACTAAGTTAGATTAATGAGTGGAGTAGAGGTGGACTTTTTAAAGGCACAGTAACAGGTCTTTGAGAGCCAGAATTCTTGCTGTTTCTTAGTTGTTCAAATACTTATGTTCAGCAGTACAAGACAAATAAATTCTTTAAAAATCATACAATGTGATTTCCTGAATTTTTTTTTTAATTCTGTCTCTCAGAGTGGGAATGCACCTACAATGTGAATTTCAGACCCCTCCATGATTTCTAAGTGGGAGAACTTGCAAAATCGTAGGGTGTTCAATTACTTCTGTTCCTCACTGTATAATTAAAAATAATTGTGTATAGTCTAAAAAATAAAAAGTCCAAGGAATAACAATTAGTCCATCCAAAAGAAGATCACTGCATGAAAGAATCTTGTGAAAAACAAGTGAAAAAATATATAAATATATGTGTATATGGACTGCCCCCCTCTCAGATATGCACTCACCAGCAAGTGTTGCCTCCCACTCTCGTGGTTGGCAAACCAGGCTTAACAGACAATCTTCAAGAGATAAATCGGACCACTATGGTATTTCAATCTCCTCTCTTGGAAAAACCAGAATCCCAAGACAGGTACTCTTGAAATCCAATATTCGAAATTAAGAAGTAAAGATCAAGGACTCCTTTCTCCTCCTAATACTCCATGCTATTGCAAGATAGAGTTTGAAGTGGAGTTCAGGCTGAAGGTTTAAGTGTTAGCATAGTCAGGCAGGCTGCATCAGCAGCAGTTCTGTAGTTCAGCAGTTTTCAGAGGAAGGCAACCACCCAGTGAACAAATCCACTGGGTGGTTGCCTCATCACTTCTGGGTTCACAGAGAGGGAGGAACAATATCAGTTCCTCTTTCTCTGCCTTGTGCAGCTGGTCGCAGTGGTCTTGGGCTCTGCAATCGGGAGAGCCCGGTAAAAGGCGGTGGCGGGAGACTGCCTTATTTCTCCCTGAAGAGTGAAGAAAAACCTTTCCAACAGGACAGAAGCAGACAGAGGTTCTAACCCTTTCCTACTCTACCAAAATGTTTTGGCTATAGATATACTTTCTGGCCTCAAGTGACTTCCATAGAGATATACTGGTATACTGAGCAGACTTTTTGACTTAAACGTTGTTTAGCTGGTCAATAAATGATTCTACTTGCTCCCTGCACTTCTTCTTTAACCACTTCAAGTCCAGACGCTTTTACCCCCTTCCTGCCCAGGCCAATTTTCAGCTTTCAGTGCTCACAATTTCAATGACAATTGCACGGTCATGCAACACTGTATCCATATGAATTTTTTTTGCATTTTTTTGAGACAGATAAAACTTTATTATGGTGGTATTTATTCACCACTGGAATGTTTTTTTTTTTTTGCTATATAAATGAAAAAGTCCAAAAATTTTGAAAAAAAGTTTTTCTTATAAAATTTTGCAAATAAATAATCTTTCTTCTTAAATCTTGGCCAAACTGTATTCAGTTATATTTTTAGTAAAAAAAAAAAAGTAAATAACCCAATTAGTTTATAACCAAAAATTATAATTTTTCAAATTTTTTTTTTACATTTTTATTTTATATTTTTTATATTATTAATATTTTTTTTTTTAACATACTGTCACCCTAGTAGTACAGTGTCACTATAGTGTTACATTTGTTACACTGATTGCTTTTACACCCATAAAGGCTGTAAAAGCAATCATTTCTCTTTCTCTTTGGCTGCATTGTTGCAGCCATTGAGAAATACTGTGAGAGCTGATTGGTCACAGCTTGTCACATGGTACTATGTTGTTGTGAATAGCCTTGTACCATGTGATCTCTGTCATCATTCACAAATTTCACTAGTAGTAAGCAATGATGTCAGGAAGTGACATCTTGCTTACTACTATTCATGTGATCATTGAGTGGCTAATTAGTGATCACATGATCGGGACCTCACACAGAGGTCCCGTACAGTGACAGATGTTTCGTTGCCAGGGAGCACGCGCGCAGGCTGAAAATGAACGGCAACCCGCTCCTGCACTGCTCCCATCCGGCCATTTATGTACATGGGCCGGACGGGAAGTGGTTAAAGGAAACCTGTACCAAGAGAAATCTTAAAGCTACCATTGGTGCTTGTCAGTTGGCTGTCCCTGGCTTCAATACATTCTGAGTCACTGACCTGGAACAAGCATGTAAATAAGTTAGAGTCGGGTAAGACCTCCTGATTTTCAAACTTCTTTAAAAACCTCTTGACTCCGACCGTATGCAAAGATGCGGCCTCTCGGTGGCTGGGCCTTGACTCTAAGCAGTTGCATATTTGCGTACCACTTGAAAACACATATGTGCTGAGAGCACTGCATGTTCCCAGCACATATGTTGGTGTCTCACAGAAAGGACCAGGTCTCCCCTTACGATCGGGACCCATTTTCGATCATGTGACTGCCGTGACAGCGAATCATGGCGGTCACATGATCCTAAAACCCTGCCTGCCTCCCAGCATTTGAAACCCCTTAAAGGGCCGGGAGTCGCTGGCGTGAAGAGGGTAAGCTAGTGACTCAAAGTACTGAAGACATTGGATCAGTATGGCAAACTAGCATTTTCAGAAGTCAGCTATAGCAGTCCTTTATTTTCCTTCGAAGTGGTATTAACCACTTGCCCTCCTGAGGATTCCCCCCTTTCCTAACCAGGCTATTTTTTGCGCTACAGCACTGTGTTACTTTAACTGACAACTGCGTGGTCATGCAATGCTGCACCCAAATTAAATTTATGTCCTTTTTTCTCGACAGATAGAACTTTCTTTCAGTGGTATTTCATCACCTGTGCATTTTTTATTTTCTGAGCTATAAACAAAAAAGGCCGATAATTTTGAAAAAAAAAACAATATTTTTGACTTTTTGCTATAAAACATATCCGGTGAAAAAAAATTTTAAAATCAATTTTCTTCATAACTTTAGGCCAAAATGTATTCTGCTACATGTCTTTGCTAAACAAAATCCCAGAACATGTAAATGAATTGGTTTACGTGAAAGTTATAGTGTCTACAAATGGCGGTATGTATACTGCGGCGGGCATTCTGAAACTAGGGAGGAACTGACTAACTGCCACTGACATCCCCAGTGACACTAATACAGTGATCAGTGCTAATAAAAAGCACTGACACTGTACTAATGACACTGGGCAGAAAGGGGTTAACATCTGGGGTGATCAAAGGGTTAACTGTGTGCGGTTTTATTAAGTGTGCTGTGTGTGTTTTACTTGGGAAACATACTACTGTGTATTTCAGAGCAGCATGTTATTGCTGGCAGGAGAGAGACCTGTGTTGTTTACACACAGGTCTCTCCCCTGTCAGTGATATGTGGCGATCACCGGGTGACGGCGGGGAATCTCTGGCTGGGACCCGGTGATCGACATCTGTGGCCGCCAATGGCGGCGTGGGTAGGGCGGCACGCATCCCCTATCCGAAAGTGCAAAATCATGTATATATATGTGATTTTGCACAGCCCTACTGCCCTGTAGCAGTAGTTCTGCTATAGGGCAGTAGGAAAGCTGTTAAACCCAAAACAAAAAGTGAAATATATAACAGTTTACCAATCATTAGATGCAGTGGCTGCATACATTTTCTTTTATTAGTCTTTTGCCCCTTTTCTTTTCGCCTTGTATTAACACACATAGAGGGCACCTTTGGACAGCAGCAGCAGACAATCTGGAAGGAGGGGAATGTGAGATGTACTAGAAGATTTGGATACACTAACAAATTGAAGCCAAACTCCAGCTAATACTATAATCAGTTGTGTTCCTTATGTAAAGGTTTTAGACAATTAAAGTGTTGCTAAACCCACAATAAAACCAGTCTGTATATGCAGTAAAGCATGCTTGTTATACCCACTGTGGAACCTAAGGGATTAATTCTCCACATTGTGTAAAAAGGCTGTTTGATCCTGTCTTCTCTGATGCTCTCATTCTACTGTTCCCAATCCAGTTGCTGATTGAACAGAGTCTTGGGGAACACGTTGCACATGCTCAGTTTGGTATGTATTGCTAGAGAGGTTTATTTTTCTTGGGAGGGTGCATCAGGTGATCAGCATAGGGCCAATCAGCACTGTTCAGACAGAGGGTCAGGGGTTATGCAGCCTCATAGGACAATCAGGGGAGAATTAAAACTCCTCCTACAAGCTTTAACCAGTGCTCTGCTGGACACTGATAGAAGTCACAAGACTGCTCTAACTGCTGATGAGAAAAGGTATTTAGCAGTTTAGATTTACTAAAATAATTGCATTTCCATGTTCTTTGTTCTGTGGGAGACCAGATATAGTGAATGCAGGGTCCTGGGTTTAGTAACACTTTAAATAAAAGTTGATCATTGTAAACAACCCTTTCAGTGTTAAATGGTTTGTCACAACCCTGTAACTGATACATTCTGTTGCAGAGTTTGTTCTTTTGAAAAACAACAGACTTACTGGCAAGATCACCAAGTGAAAATAAGGGAAATAAAGCCTAAAAAAGAAAAACAATGCTGCCATTACATGTAAGGATTGATAGGCTGCAATATAATTAATAATTGCTTTTGGTTTTAATATTGCTTTAACTGCTTTTGATTAGTATCATACGAGACCCATTTGTCTTTCTATTATTAAATAGTGCATATTTACAAGAGGGGGGAAAAAACAAGTATAGATAATTTTAAACAATTATATCTACAAAAACCCTGACTGCTTAAACCAGATGTGTTTTACCATTTCCACTATTCTTCCAGTTTGTTATTCTTGGGTTTTTTTTTTTTCTTCTCTCTCTCCCACAATTCTGTAAAGTGAAGAGAGCAGCATGGCTATTTCCTCCTGAGACCCGGTAACCACACGATGCCATATGGGTGTAATGTTTTATGTATGAATCCCAGCGTGAAGCACTGCTCACTCAAAGACAGAAGCTCCAGATTTTAGACAGAGGCAGTATTCTTCAATAATAATTAGACAATCAGGCAGCACTTTACTGCAAACTCAGTTATCTTATTCTCTTTAATAACCAACCCTATATATGTTTTCTTTGAGAAATTATTTCTTTCAAGTTGAACCTTATGTGCTGAATGATTTGATGCTTTTATTTAGTCAACATTTGTAGGAGAAATACTTTTTACGCCAACACAGAAAATAATTGCTATGCTTTCACAGAGCTGGAAGATATATGGGTAAAAGCAGAATATGGAATGTGCTGTGCAGCTATTCTGATATTATTGATTGTAAAAGCCTTTACTCTTTCTAGTCTCAGAATAATCCAGCTGGCTTTAAATAAAATATTGCCACTGATTTTGAACTGTCGGCATTTCGAGAGGGAATGTCTAGTGTTTAAATTATTTTTTTACAGATTTACCTGTAAAAAGGTCAGTAGGGTATAAATAATATCATCAATGCATGTTAATACTTAACAAGGTACATAGGATGGGGCCATGTTAACCAGAAAAATAAAACTACTCATATTTCCAGAGAACCAAGGCATCACTTTGCAGTTGATTTACTAAATTCAAATAGACTGTGTACTGGATGATGAAAGTCAACAGAGCTTCCCCTCCTTTATTAGGCTTTGGAGCAACTGCACTTGCAAAGTGCGCAGACTATTTGCCTTTAGTAAATCAACCCCAGAGACTGGATTGTATTGGTCACAGCTGCCATTTAGACGAATTAGGATTTAGGTCTTTGAAGGGCATCCTGAAAACAAATAAACTTGAATTTGGACAAGGTCCCCAGCCATGCATGCCTTAGGGTCATTAACCATCAGAACTGAAAAAAAAAAAACAAATTTAACCATAACTTCACCCATTGACAAAAAGATGCATTACCTAAGAAACCTCCTCAATCTCAAATGACATTCATTTTGGATATGACTTTTAAAGACCCTAAAACCCTGTGTGGCTGACTTGACAAACATAAAGAATTACCCTTGACAGATAACATGGTTGACTGTGCAAAATACTGAAGTGCATAATAACTTCCCAGGCTGACTGTGCAAAATTGGGGTACAAGGGTAGAAATGCTTGTCTAATGATGTGAACCTGTTCTGGGAATTTCTTTCTCCTTCTAACCATACAACTTATCCAGCTTAGTGCAACCGTTTAGTAGTAAATACCCACCTTCTCACACCCATGCCTATAAAACAATTTAATCCCTAATACACCTTTGCCATAGGCTTTTGCCTGCAGCAGGCTGATTCTTGATGCAGGAATCTGCTGTTTAGTCATATCTTTATGTGTGAATGGAACACAAGGGCCAGGAGTATAACATAGCATACTGTATACAGGGTAAAAAGGATAATACATTGTGTATACAATTTGGGGGTCAGACATATACTGTAGAAGATAGTGAATGTAATGCAGGGGTCAGGAGTATAATGTAGAACACAGTTAATCCAGTTCAGTGGTCGGGAAATTTGTGAGATACAGCACTGTGTACAGAGTGCAATGATCAGTAATACTGTCAGTGGGGTCAATGCAGTGATCAGTAATATTGTCAGTTGGTCAGTGGGAGCAAATATACCCCAAAATTGGTATAAGAAAATGGGAGTAACACCCCCCCCACCTCCATCCTAAAATTGCTAAACACTTTTTACCCTCCCCAACAGAGGCCCTAAGTGCCTGTGAATCCTTTTGAGCAGATAGGGTGGATAGAGTGGGTGCATGGTATGGACAACATGGGTGCACTATGTGGACAGTATGGGTACATGGTACAGACAGTGTGAGTGCATGGTGTGGATAGTAAGGGTACACACTGTGAGTGAGCAGCATCTCACCTCTCTCCCTCTCAAAAGCTCTTTCACTGCTACCTAGGACAGCTGTCCCTTCTGTACCCCCTTTGTCCCGACCTGATATGGAGCACAATACAAAGCCTGAATTCTGATATATGCAGCATGATTCAGAGCCAAAATGCTGAGCCTACATTGTGATATACACATAGAATACAGAGCTCGTATGCTCATATACAGCATAATATGAAGTCCACATCCTGGTATACAAAGAGCCCATATTCTGATTTACACAACATAATACAAATTTTGTATTCTTTAGCACATAATATGCCGGAAAAAGACACAACGCTACCACATGCCAAGTTATGCAGGTCAAGAAGAATTAAGTGAGCAAAAGAATTAGGGAGTAAACCAATACCTTGTTTGAACAACAGTCTTTTTTTATTTTTTTACGGGCTTTTCAAAATAACAAATGTAAGGATTTGAAGATTTGATAAAATATTTAGTATAACACTTAAAAATGCAAACAGTACATTTGCATAGTGGTCTATACATCACATCAAACAGAGGGACAACTGAGAAGGAAAGAAGAACAGTGGGATTCTAAAAGGATGACCCCTTATAGCTATGGACAATTAGGAGCTATAAAACACCATTGAATGGAGACCATATTCATGGGTGAGCAACACAATGCAAAGCCTTTTTCATATCCCCCAGCAATCCCAGATCCCACAGGGCTATCCCAGGATTTAAACACAGTCCCAGGGAACTATACATTCAGGATGTGTCTTTTTCTAGCATTCGGCTCTGCTCCTCAACAATTAGCACTGATGAGTGGAGCGATCTTCTGGCCAACAGAAACCACATCTTGGCAATGACTTCACTGCACAGTGGCATAGGCCAAATATCTAAGGCTCTGGTTATCTTACCTTTGGCCTGTGATTTCCTGAACTTAATCAGCTGGCACCATGTTGAAAATGTCAAGAAGCAGGCAAGACACAGAAATACAATTACAGGTGGGCATGCTCAGTGAGAGAGCATTTTTATGCTTCCAGGCTTGTGTGTTAATGAGCAGCTCCAGAAAGGACTTTAGGGAGCTTTAAACTCTATTACCATGAGGGACATCATACTTTTAGTGACAGAACGTAGCCATGGACAGCATGGGACACTCTGCTTAACCTGCTGGGTACTGACAGTGTACAAAAACAATGTGATTAACTCCTTATTTCCCCTTTTTGGCATCCCACTCTCTCCCTCTTTACCCTGTAACGTTCCCTCTCCAGTACCCCAATCACTCTGTAATTGTCCCTCAGGACAGCTACTCCTCTTTTCCCTATTCCCATGATTGTCCATCCTCAAAACCCCAACTCCTCTGTTCCTATTTCCCCTGTATCTGTCCCTATAACTGTCCCTCTTTAAGACACCTATGAGGAAGAACAAGGCATTGACATCAATGTTTTGGATCAGGAACAAGGCACTGACACCAATGTTTTGGGAGGGAAAGCAAGGCACTGACTCCAACATTTTGGAGGGTCTATCTCAGTTCCTCCTTAACAAGTTCTACAGTTGGGAGGTATGCCACATGCTTGGCTTCACTATGTCAGGCAGCAGCCTCTTCAAGGGAGAGGTGGGAGCTCTGACAACAGATTGGCCATAGTAAGCCTATGGGTGA